ACTCCAGTCTGGGCAACAGAGTGAGACTCCAACTCAAAAAAAAAAAAAAAAAAAGTTTAAAAAGTACACTAGTACTTTATTTGGGACTCAAGAGTAGACTCATCAAGTAATTACTACTATGGTAAACCTAGAAATTATTACATATGAATTCTGGTTACAACTGATATACAGGAAAAAAGAAATATGGTCTCTGGAAAAGACAGAATCCATACACATACACAAACACACACACATACACACACATATGTATATATATACATATGTATCTATATATAGTGGGAAATCAAATATCAGTAAGACAGCATTTCTAAAAATTCAGTCAGTCATATATAAGAGCAGAAGAGAAGCCAGGCATATGTCCTGTAAGTCAACCTATTTACTTTATAATAGTCTTCTTAAAATATAAGGTAAGAGAGAGATAGAAAAGCATTTGTTAATTACCAAATTTGGGAGCCAGATATCTTAAGGGCAAATATTATTAGCTAAGTCACATGTTTTCTAAAGGGTTGGTATTCTGAAGCCTTCCAAGGTATTAAGATGAATGTACCCTCCTCTTCCTTCAAATAAAACAAAGAAATCTTATCATACTTCAGAATTACCATAATTTCAGAATTATTAATATAATTAATAACCCTTTAGTGAACCTACTATGAATCTACATTTATTTCAGGATGCCAGAATTATAGAGATGGAAAACAGATTAGTGGTTGCTAAGATTAAGGATATTAGCTGGAGGAACAGGGGTGTGACCATTAAGAGGTAGCATAAGGGAGACACTAGGAAGCAGCTATATGATTTGGTGGATTATCTTTAAAAGAACTAATATTGAAAAGAGGCTACATCTTTAAAATATTTAGTGTTACAAACTCAGTGAATTCTGGAAAACACCTTCAAACTTCTACCCTTGAAGGATCGTATGAATTAAGTCTTCTCCTTAGGCTTCAGAACAGAATACAAGTTGTCTCTCCTATTTTTTTAATACTTAGACAAGGGTCAAGTTATGGCCTGTAGATTGTCTGTTTCTTTATCAATAAAGTTTTGTTTGAACATAGCAACCCTATTTGTTTACTCATTATCTATGGCTTTTTTTGCACTACAATTGCAGAGTTAACAGTTGTAACAGTAACCCGATAGCCCACAAAGTCATACAGATATTTAATACCTGGGCCTATTAAAGAAAAAGTTTGCTGATCCCTGCTGTAGAGTCTAGGGACTCTGCTGTGTGACTTTGGATATTGATCAATTTCCTCGTTTGTTAAAGAAAATAACAGTATATACCTCATGTACAGTAAAGGATTAATTCATCAAGTCTGGATTGTCCATACCCTTTCACATTAAAGGTTTATTCGCTTATCTGCTCCTGGGAAGTAACTTCTAAGCCCTTGGAATATCCTGCCTGACAAGTACATCTTTGTTTACATGCCAGAGAGTCTATGCTAACAATGTGATTTATGGTTGGAACTTTGGGCAATGTAGTAACAGCTTGCCTATGACGGGACTAAAGACTGAGTGATTAAGGTTAGCCACACAGGCAGTTAGTCACGCCTTTGTGACTAAGCTCAATAAAAACCCTGAACACCAGGGCATGGGTGAGTATCCCTGGCTGGCAATACTGAAGTATTTAAAGTGCTTTTGCTGTATTTTATAAAATGTTTAAAGTGTTTGCAGTGTATCGGTTAAAACCTAAGTTTGCATTTAAAATGTAAAACTCCATTTTGTGGCTTGTCTCCATGTTGTTGTTATTGAACTTCTGTGTGGCTGATGCAAGAATTTTAAAATTTTGCTTATAAACAACCCTCACAGTCCTGCACCCCACCCAGTGCTCTAACGGTTTCCCCCTTATCTGAGTAACCTGTGTGCCCCCTTATCTAAGTGTACTATGTGTCAAACCCAGAACACGTTTCATGTGTTTACCTCTCACATGTTTATCTCTTGTAAATGACTCAGTTTCCCAACTGCTTTAACCCATAAAGACTCCCTGCAAATTTCATTCGTCGTCGAGAGTTTGGGAAGGCACGAGCCCACTCTCAGTCACCGGCTTTAATAAAGGGCTTACTTATTAATTTGACCTCTAATCGGGCTGGTTATCTGATTTCTAGCAATCCGTGTAAAACAATACTCCATGTGCGTTGCCACACATTGTTTTTGGGAGAAGTAAGCATTATCTGCATGACTCCACTGAGAGAAGAAAACTAGAAAAGCTTGTGCCTGCTGCTTCCTGGGCTCTGCCCTATGTGCCTTTTCCTTTGCTGATTCTAATCTGTATTGTTTTGCTGTAATAAACTGTAACCACATGTATAACAGTTTTTCTAACTTATGAGTATTCTAGCAAATCACTGAACCTGTGGGTGGGCTTGGGGCTTCCCAAACAGCACATCATTATATTATAGGGATTAAAAATAATAACTTGTGCTAGATGTTTAGTAATGGCTGGCTGGCTGGTATATAATAAAGACAATATATGTTGTCTGTTACCATCAAACTACTAAGTAAGTACTTTGAGAGATTTTAATTCTTGTTACAGGATGTTTCTGGCACTTAAAGACTATTTTCAAATGAGGTTCACATTTGCTGTTCATTCAACATTTGCGTTATCTGAATGGACTGATGCTTACATTTATGGCCCTTAGGTACTATGCTATTTGAAAATTTCAAGAAAGATCAAATGATTTTCAGTACTTTGTGTTTAATGTGACAGGAAAATATGTAACATTTTATTTTAAAAGGTTTGGATCCTAAAAAGCTAAATACAGTATGTAATTAAACAGTATACCTCATTTTCCCAGACAAGGGAAGCTCTGTTTATATTGTGCTTATGATACATTCCATGGCGAGAGTGATCAGATTATTTTATTCAAAAAGAGGAGTTATACTTGTTACCTGACAGTACTGTTAAGATGAATTTATGAATGAATGACCACTAACCAAGAGATAAGAAAATGCAAAAGACTCCCTAGTACCTTTTCATTCGGGTCTGAACCTTTTATTTGCTCACTGAAGTCTCTTGGTTTTTCATTCTCAGGAGTCTCATTAGTAACTTCTTCAAAGGAAATGTGTGCATCTCTGGAATCATGTTTTATCTCACTTGCTGAAAAGAAATAATATTCAACCATAGAAACTTTAAATGACAAAATAACCAAGTCATTCAAAGACTGTTCTAAATAGTGAATTAGAATTCAGAGACTCTTTTAAGGTCTAAAGTGACAAATATGAAGTAGAATTTTCAGCTAATTATACAATAATTCCTCCCACTCTATCAAAATAACTCATGATATAAGTATGGTATAAAAATAATTAACAACAGGGTGCCTGAATGAAATGTAATTGTATACCTAACCCTTAACTGTACCCCACATCATAATAAAAAATATTGATAAAAAAATTAACAGTAAAATAATTAAGAATTTTTCTTGATCATGTCTTGTTATTTATTTATTTAGAGATAAGGTATACTCTGTCACTCAGGCTGGAGGACAGTGGTGCAATCAGCTCACTACAGCCTTGAACTCTTGGGCTCAAGCAATCCTTTCACTTCAGTCTCCCAAGTAGCTGAGACTACAGGCATGTCTACCACACCCAGCTAATTTTTATTTATTTTTTTAGAGACAAGGTCCCGCTGTGTTACCCAGGCTGGTCTCAAACTCTTGGGTTCAAGCGATCCTCCTACCTTGGCCTCCCAAAGTGCTGGGATTGTGAGTCACTGAGCCTGGCCCACGTCCAACTATTTAAAATATATTTTTAAAACTTGAAAGTCAAAGTGAAATTAACTTTCATATTAAGTTATATCCTGTGAAATAAAAATTCAGATATTTAAACTTATGATTAGCTGTTAAGTATAAAAAAGTTTTAAGCTGTGCTCGGTGGTTCAGTCTGTAATCTCAACACTTTGGGAGGCTGAGGTGAGTGGATTGCCTGAGCCCGGGGATTCGAGAACAGTCTGGGCAGCTTGGCGAGACCTCGTCTCTACAATAAAATAAAAAATAGCCAGTGATGGAGTAAGACTCCAACTCAAAAAAAAAAAAAATAAAAAGCTTAAAACTATTCATTTAAAATGTCATAAAGCTTAAATATGTATTTCAATTCAAAGTAAGAACTATAAAAATTCTTAAAGTCAATTACCTATCTTCCGTAGGTAAAGTCTAACAAAGTTATTTATTAAATAATCAAATAGAAAACATGTTAAAGTCTGATCTGCCAACCAGTCAATTAAAACTGATAAAAATGGACAAATTATAAAACATATGGTTAACAGATTCTAAAATGAAATGCTTCCTATTCTAATGAATTCATTTTGACTAGGCTTGAATGGAGATATAAAAAGATACTTTAATACTGCAAATTCTGAAAATGTCCAACTTTACCTGCTGGCAAGGAAGCACAGATCTCTGACTTCATCAATCCAGGGCCCAGTACAGGAAGTTCTCTACTATAAAGCGAACAGAGCTTAAACATTGTAACATATTCTAAGCAGAACTATTCACTTCTCTAAATATTATATAATAGTAGCTTTAGCTAGTGAATATCAGTTCAAGTCCTCCAGGACAGAGTACAGTGGGACTCAGAACCCAGTGCACCAGTACAGATTCTTCATCTGGCTCTGTAATCACATATCCCTCAACTGTTAGGGAGTGCTGCCACTCCCACTTTGTTACAGAGAACCTGACCAGATATACCAAGCATTTAAAATGCTTAAAAGTATTAAATCTGCTGTGTGCAATAGTTCACGCCTGTAACCCCAACACTTCAGGTGGTGTAGGTGAGAAGAATGCCTGAGTCCAGGGGTTTGAGAATAGCCTGTGCAACTTGGCTCGGCTCTACAATAAATCAAAAAAATTAGCTGAGTAGTGAACGCCTGTGGTTCCAGCTTCTTGGAAGGCTGAGGCAGAAGGATCACCTGAGCCTAACAGGTTGAGGCTATATGGCTGTGAGCTGCCACTGCACTCCCACTCCAGCCTGGGCGATGGAGTGAGACACCTACTCAAAAAAAAAAAGAAAAAAAGTTATCTACTATCTTGTTTTGATGTAATAGTTTTTTGTTTGTTTTTTTTTTTGAGTTGGAGTCTCACTCCACTGCCCAGGCTGGAAACGCAGAGGCACACTCATGGCCACCCCAGCGTCAACCTGCTGGCCTCAGGCAATCCTTCTGCCTACCATGCTCAGCTAATTTTTGGATTTTTATTGCAGAGATGAGGTCTCATCAAGTTGCCCAGGTTGTTCTTGAACCCGTAGGCTCAGGCAATCCTCTCTCACATCGGCCTCTCATAGTGCTGGGATTACAGGCTTGAGCCACCATGCCTGGCCAGTAGATAACTCTTAAGCATGTACATGTATGTTTTACTGCTGATGTAAAAAAAAAAAAAAAAGGCAGCTTGAGAGAAGTCTGATTTTTTTTTTTGTAGTCTCTAAATACAACTTACAGTCTAAAGGTTAAGGCTATGGAGATCAGAGTTAGAGCTACCTGGGTTCAAATATTGCACTTATTGTGTAAACTGTGGCAAAACTGCTTTAACTTCTACTTAACTTCTCTCTTAATTACTTATCTGTAAAATGAAAATACTACCTACCCACAAGGTTATTTTAAGAATTAAATGAGATAAAATGGCCTCAAAATCAATGATTTTGAAAACCAACAGATGAGAACTACTTTTTTAGGAGCCACTCAAATACTAATGGCCAAACACTATTCCATTTTTTAAAATTTAGACAAAAATTTAAAATGCATAAAAGTACACAGAATAACATATAAACATATATAGTCCCACCATTTATTTATTCATTAAGTGGGTTCTTAATAAACATATCCTACAGCTCTACAACTGCTCATTGGTTCAGAATTATTAGCCAAGAAAGAGGAAAACGAAACAAAACATTTTATATACACTATTTTTTGAAGTTTAAAAAACATAAAGTACTTTCTTCCTAACATAAACCCTAGAAACAATCAGCAGACAGTTTAAAGGATAAGGATATAATAATACAAACAGAAAACACATACAAATTCAAAGCTCTTTCTAACTCAGACCTCTCTAGAATCATATCTGCCTACTAGAATATTTCAATTCCAGTATCTCAAAGTCCTCTCCAACTCAAAATGGCTAAATTTGACCTCCCCAATACTGCCCCTTTGCATCAGAGGTGAATGGTGAATGCTCTTCTCTGAGATAAGAGAAGCCACGTATCATTCTTAACTCCTCCCTCTGTCTCACCTCCATCTGATTAATCAATATTCATTTCCTAAACATCTCTCAAATCCACTTTTGTATGAAGTCACCATGTTCTTTCAATCTAATTATTACAATAGCTCTCTGCCAGTTTATTCTTCACACCAGGGCTATAATAATTTTTAAAATGTAAATCTGTTCAAATCTTCTCTCTACTTAAAAGTCCTTCAGTGAATTCCTGTATGCTTAGGACAAAGTTTGAACTCACCATAAACTCTAGTTTGCCTATGATGGCTTGTTTATGCCTGTTGTCTTGGCATATTAATTATTAATAGTTCCCCCTTTCCGTGTCAAAAGTTTTACATATTATGGTCATTTTACTTTTAATTCAGAAGGTACATATTCAGAAGGTACATATTATGGTCATTTTACTTTTAAAGCCCTTCATTAAAGCCCTTCATGACTGAGTTTCTGCACATTCTGTAGCTTCATTTCTTGCTAATTGAACATTAAGTCATGGGACATTATTTCAGTTTCTCACTTTTCTTCGTCTATTAGCTAATTCCTACTTATCCTTTAGTGCTCATCTTAAATGCCACTTTCACCAGGAAGTCTTTAATATCTTGTATGTCTCCTATCATTTTACTGTACTTAACTATTTGCCTCCTTAGAAGTTCTCTGAGGAAAAGGTATACATGTATCTAGTTGTTCTCTAAACACGCAGCATCTAACATATTCCTGGCACACATTGCCAAACACTGGGGAGGCTCAAGTGAAGATGCTGCTCTCCCTTCTAGTAACTTCCAGTACAAGGTGAGGCTCACATACAAGCAGACATAATATAATAAGATATGTGCCATGAAAACTATTGGAACAAATCCCTGGAATAACATCTCAGATGTGACTTGATAGATAACTGAATAGAAAGAAAGGGATTTTCAGTAAACATATGCAAAAGGATTAAAATATGTGGCACACTGTGGACACAGCGAGCTGCTTGATGTGTTTACCTTTCATTAGCTTTTCACCCCAATGTCCTTCCCCCAGCAGCATAGCTGTCAAAAAGGGATTGGATACAGATCCACTAAAGAACCTTAAGAAGCCATGCCAAGCAATTTAGATTCTATTCTTATGTGGTTGAAAACCAGTGGAGCACACTAAACAGTCACTGGCAGATCAAATTTTATTTCAGAATGTCACTATAACAAAAGATATATTAAGAGAGTTTAGAAAGATTAACCAGAAGCTTATTACAATAATCTAGGAAAAAGATATTAAGGTAATAGCATGAACAGAATTAAGTGATTCAATAGAGAAGAACTGAGAAATGTTTCTGTGGCTTCTAATTATGCCAAAAGTTTCATTCATAAATAGGTACATTAAGTACATAAGCTAATTTCTTTCTTTTCTTTTTTTTTTGAGTTGGAGTCTCACTCTGTCACCCAGACTGGAGTGCAGTGGCCGCTCCCGGCCACAGCAGCCTCAACCTGCTGGGCTCCGGCGATCCTTCCGCCTCAGCCTTCCAAGTAGCTGGAACTACAGGCGCGTGCTACCACGCCCGGCTAATTTTTTTATTTATTGTTAGAGATGAGGTCTCACCAAGTTGCCCAGGTGGGTCTCGAACCCACGGGCTCAGGCAATCCACTTACCTCAGCCTTCCAAGGCGCGGGATTACAGGTTGAGCCACCGAGCCCGGCACATAAGCTAATTTCAAAGTATTAAGATAGTATTTATATTGGTAGTATTAATACTGTTATTGCTGGTAGAAATTGTACAGGTGTGAGAAACTTTTTACTATGAAAATAGCTAAGTTAAAAGGAATGTAAAATTGTGCATGCAACTCTTGTAAGAAATAGTTTAGTTTTGAATTTGAGAGACCCGAAGAAGTTAAATTCACCTAAATTAAAAATAATCATAAAATGAGCAAAACTAATTTACATAAATAGCCATCAGTTTTGCAGTGGTGGGGTGGAAAGTTATAGTTCTAAATTGGTGGAATGAAAAAAAGAAAAATGCAGGGTAGAAGAAGGAAAGGAGAGAAAACAGAGACAGGCTTGGGTGAGGTTAGAGAAATGCAGAAAGGCAAAAGAGAAGATCTGAGCAAAAAGGAGAAGAAAATAAGAGAGGTCTAAGTCAATTCTGGAGAACCACATGAAGCTGACCCTCTACCAGAACAAAAATGAGGAGGGCAAGATTAGGAGAAAAAGTGAAAAGAAAACTCTAGATTCTGTTACTATCAGTATTACCTTGGGCAAGTGACAACTTGTCATCCTCACTTTTTTCTATCTTCAAAACAGGCAGATTACCATCCTACCACATTACACAGTTAAAAAATAATAGATAAATGTCATGGCTCTCCATTTGGCACATAGAAAACATACTATTTTGTGAGAAATTACAAGTTCTTGCAGCATTAAGAACATCAAGAAGAGTATGATATCACAAAGGTAACTGAAAATGTATAAATACCAGAGAAATTTAAGTCATACACCCTTGAATCTTAGTGAAAAATGTTTCCTTGAGTCTGTTCACAAAACATTTCATATAAATACAAATATAAGTAATATCTTGAGGAATTATAAAAGTTTAGTAAAATATGACATAATATTAAATCAATTTTGGGTCAATCTGAGTAAATTAAGTTCCTGAGAATGAAGATACTACTTGGCTCCATTTAAAGTTGTCTGAGGCAATCTAGTCCTATTTGGGAGCAAAATCAACATTTAAAACTATCACCATGGCTTAAAAGTAAAGTCACCAAAAAAAGGCTGTTTTCTTCTGAAAAATCAATTTAACTTTTCATTCTACTTTCAAGCCCTAATTACTTCAAATAAAAATTTCCAAAGCTTGTCTCTTCCCTGAAAAATGTTCTTAAATTTAACATGGAAGCCACAGAAAATGGATTAAAATACATAGCACTGATCTTAATAAGTAACCATTATGAAATAAAAGTATATCTGCCTATTTATAACAAAAACATACGAAAATAAATTTAACTGACTTTTGAAAGAAGCAATCTCCATCATTTAAGAAGTCATTTTACAGTCATAATTTTAAATTTTGAACAGCTAATCTGCTCCACTATAACTTCCAAGATAGGCACAATTACTTATTTCAATTCTAAGTTTTAGCATAATATCATTTCTGGGCATCAGCAGTAATATACTGTATTATACTTAATAACTGGGTTTAAAAAAATGAAGCTTCAATGATCAATACATTAATTAGTGAAACCTAAGATCAGAGAGTGCTTCTGTAACCCCTAACAATAACCTGCACCAAAAGGCATACTTGAACATGCATACCTCAAGTCATCGCTTGGTTCTTTTTTTTCTGGAGGTTCCATGTTCTTGTAGTCTGTTGACTGGTGCTCTTCAGCAACATTGGACTCCTGGCTTATCATGGGGACCTTTGAAGTAAATGAGGCCTCCCCTTCACTGGAGACTCCAAATAGGTCTGGGTCATCTTGAATTACATCAATTAAGAGGACATCATCTTCATAAGCTTTAAGAATATCTGGAAGCGGAAGCTCCACTTTGATTTCTGAAAAATTCTTAGTCATTTTTCTACCACTAATTTCAGTGGAAATTGGTTTGAATGTTTCTTTTTCATTAGAGCAGAAGAAAGGACTTTTCTCTATACACCCAGGATCACAAGTAAAAGTATTACTTTCAATTGCGACAGAAACAGGTTCCTTAATAGAAACAATATTGCCTGGTTCAGAGATATGATTAGATGGCTTATTATCATTACCCTGCTTTGTAAATCTTGGAGAAATACTACTAGCTTGCACTGGAGTTGCACTATTTTGTATGCTTAAAGACTGAGGTCCTGAAGTTACCAGATGAACATTTTCTTTATCCCTATTCTGTCTTACCTCTGTTCCAGACAAACTGTCCAGAAGTTCTAAGGGACTGTACACGTCTCTCTCTGATGACTTGGCATTAACTTTGCTTTTTTCTGTCTTATTCTTAAGTAAAGGAATCTTAAAATTAGTCAGCCGTCCTGTGTTCAATATTTTAACCAAGTCTGGAACCACATGCGTCTGTTTAGCAAAGCATGCTCTTTGATGAATAGTTTTGCCTGTAGAATTGTTTGCTTCCTGACCATCTTGGGAAGCCACTGTCAAATAAAGTTTTGTTAAATTTCCTCTATGTTTTTTTTTACTTCCTGTTAAGCTTTGAGTCACATTAGTTACCGGAGTGTCTTCAGTAGTATTAGAAATTACCTCTGACCTACTTCTGCTTGGTTCCTCTGACTTTATCTTTTTATCATCCTTGATTATAGGTTCTTTTATGGCCATTAAAGTGGGTTCTATTGTAGAAACAGAAGACAAACTATTTAAATTAGAATCCAATTTTTCTTTACTTGAAGATTCCATGTTTGCTACTGTTAAGGGACTTTGTAATAATAATTTGGAGTCAATTAGGTGTGTCTGGTTTGTTTGGTGTTTAAGTAAATCATCTTGCCTAAGATATTCCTGAGATCCAGAAAGAAAACAATTTGATTCTGGCAAGGAAGCCTTTTTCCAACACTGGGCAGATACCCTAGCACATGAATAATAAGGCCAAGTTCTTTTACCAGTCATTGGTATTGTTCTCTGACAGTTTAACTTTGATTCTTCAGCTTCATTTCTTAAGTCTTCTGGTGATGATCTCTTTCCAACATCGTGGTAATCATTTGGTGATTTCCCTATGGAGCTTTTCGTTGACTTAAAATACTCTTCTGGCTCCATGCTTTTACATTCTAAGGGCTCTGAAGCATTCTTTGTTTCTTCTTTCAAAAGAGGCTCAAAGGTTTTCTGAAGCATAGCATTTCCACGATGTACATGACTTAGTTTTTTTCCTGCTGTTTTTGGGAAACTTAATGAATGATCCAGTGGAGAGAGTGTAGTATGATTTTTCAAAACATTTAAAGAACTTTTTTTAGTTTCTAACGTCTCTGCTTCCTTACCCTTGGCACCCATTTGGTTTTCTTGCAACACCAGCTCAGATTTGTTATACACATTAGAGAAGTTCATCTCAATAATAACAGTTTCGTCTCCTTTTTCAGACAACTTTATCCTTTTTCTGAGTTTTCTCCGAACACTGCTCTCCTCTATTGAATACTTATTTTTTTCATTTTGAAGGCAGGAGAGCAAGTCATTATTTTTACTATGGCATACATTACTTTCTTCTAGTAGTAACTTATTTACTCCCATTACATTTTCTTCAGTTTGTAAGAGCTGAGGAATACCATTTGTGTCACTCTTCTCTGCAAGACTCCTACGGTTTTCTTTCTTTAACTTCGAGGAATTTTCTGCTACATGCATACATCCACCATCAGGCTTATATGCCAGGTTGTTTTCATCATTACAACCCTTGGAATGGGGGAAACAATAGCAATCATGTAATTTAAAAATGGAATTATTTTCTACTCCAGGTGACAAGCTGTTACAAGAATATTCTGGAGTATTCTTGTACAGTTCATCTTGGAATTAAATCTTACTATTTTGTGCAGCCTCATTTTAAGTTATTTTGAGAGGTGGACTTTCTAAGCTTTTACATTTTTTAATTTAAATTCTTCTTTTAATACCTTCTACCAAACCTTCCTTACCCAAAGACTGCAAAAAAGCCATATTTTGAAATTCACTGCACTCCACTTGTCTAGAAAGATTCTGAACTGGTTAATGATTCATTTCTTACCAGGTCAATCCCTGACTGTGGATCATCACTTGAGGCTTCAGTAACTTTTCTTTTTTCCTTGGCTGATCAAAACAAACAAAACATACCAGAAAGATTTTATATTGAGGAGGAAAAAGCAATATCGCTTTAAAAAAAAATGTGAAGCCATCCACTTTTTATTTCCCCGAATAGCTGTATGGAAATATACATTTTTAAATGAAAGCCCTAATTTCTGTTAAGGAATCACACATAAAACTGTATAAAGTCTAAGGCAGCTGAATAACCCTTACAGTATCATTATTTCACACTAGTCAAATGGACCACTAGCAGGAATTCTTCCTATAATTAGTTCTGACCGTGAGGTTCTAACGGGGCAAATACCTTTTAAGAAAATTTGTTCCCCCCCCCCCCCCCGGGTCAATCACGCGCATAAGAAGTGACCAAGCAGATTCAAGTTAAAGGCAAGTGGTAAAACAAGGACGGAGCAAGCAGAGGTGCAAAGACTAAAACGGAGTGACCACTGAGTGCTTTCTTACTGTGTCTTCCCGATTGCAAGAGGAGCTCCACCTCCCTCGCCGCTAGCATGCCTGGCTGCTCTGACGAGACCAACGAGCCCACCTGGCCCCGAGGCCCTTCCGCTGGCTGCCTCGCGGCCTTCCCCGCCCTGAACGCCTCACCCGACTTGCCACTCTCCACCTCTTCTCTTCCAGACGCCCGGGTCACCATTCTCCTCCTCTGCCTGCTTTCGTCGCGCCCCCCAGCCTCAGGGCAGCAGCCTCCCGCCTCGCCTAGTCCTGACGCCCGCCGCTGGCCTCGCTTCTTCGGG